CCCCCTCCTGCAGCCCCCTCTCCCCTCCTGCAGCCCCCTCTCCCGCCTGCAGCCCCTCCCCCTCCTGCAGCCCCCTCTCCCTTCCTGCGGCCTCCTCTCCCATCCCTCTCACCCCCCACACCCCACAACCGGCTCTGCCTCTGCCCTGCCAGCTGATCCCTGTGCATTTTACTGTGAAAGAGAGGCGTTAGACCTTACTCGAGCATACTTGGAGAAAAAAAGAAAGTGGTCCGTGAAATGCTCAAAACCGCCTGGCACAAGGGTTGTCTGTGACTTGGCAAGCTCAGGGGGGTGCCCGCTGGTGACCTTCATAGTCTTCTGGGTGCCTGTGGCGGGAGCTCGGGCTTGAACCCTGAGCTTTCATAGATGGAATTTTGTAAACAAGTTTTGGTTTCCCTGCAGCCCTGACTTCCCAGAAAACAGCGCGGGGAGCCCCACGTGAGTAAGGCCGATGTGGGAGGCTGGGACTGACTAGTTCGAGCTTCATTTATCCAAGGGAAGCCATGGGAGGGGAGGCTGGCCTCAGAACCCAGTTAGGAGCCCCCCACTGTTTTTAGTATTTACGTATATCTTCATTAACCTTTGCTGTGCGGTGCCTGAGCTGGTGCTTCGCTCACTCCCACGTGTGGATCCTGGGGGTGGAGCTCAGGCTGGTGGTAAGCGCCTGTACCCAAGTCACTTCCAGCTTGCCTCAGCCCAGGAGCAGGAGAGAGAGCAGAGGGATGCGGTCCAGGTGGATACCTTCTGGGTAGAGGAGATGCCTTCCTGGTGGATGCCTTCCCTTCCCGCATGCCGGTCCTATGAATGTGTCCCTGGGATGAGCCTGGACTTTTCTTGGGCATGTCCTCAGGGCTGGCTGCAGCAGCTGAGCTGGCCACACGACCCAGCAGCCTTGGCCTCTCCTGGTGGCAGTGCCGCCCGTCCCGCTGGAGTGTGTGAGGAGGTCCCCTGCCCCGGTAAAGTGTAAACAGTTGAGGGAAGGGCTCTTCCAAAAACCCATTGTGCTGCGTGGCACAGGTGAAATGCAGTGACACTCGGGCCTCCTGCCCGGTCCAAGCTGTCCTTCTCCTCAGCCGGTACTGTCAGCAGCCTCGTCCACTAACTGTCCCAGGCAGCACGAGGCAGCGGTGTGGGGTCAAGTTAGAACTCAGCTCCATTAATCCCAACCCCGGGGCCCTGCACGTGGGCCTGGTCTTCCCTCCTGCTAGAGTCCTTCCTCCTAGTTGCGGGAAGACCGGCCAGGATTACCTCGAGGTACACGCTGTTGCACGTGAGAAAACGTGTGTGCCTTCAGCACCGTTATCACCGCAAGTTATCATCACGTTTCCTTCTCACTTAAAACTGACAGAAGATTGTGAGAAAAAAAAAAACAAAAACAAAAAAAAAAAACAGGAAAATCTCAAGGAACTTTCACAGGTTGTGGTCGGGCACACTGCTGTGGTGTGTCCGCTGTCCTCCGACCCTGCCTGTCTGACTGCGGTCAGCCTGTGGCCACGGTCCACCAACATCTCTTCCTGTTTCTGCCCTCCTAGGCTCCTCACTCCCGACAGGAAGGATAACGGGGAGCTCGCCATGGTAAGCAGAGCTTGGCTGGCTCGAATGCCGTCAGAATCCTCAGGCCTCAGCTTCTTCTCTTAGGAGACTCAAAGTGCTTGAGAGTAGTCAAGATGGCTCGGGCCAGGGCCCTGCCTCCGAGCCTGAAGAGCTGACCCTGACCCCCAGGGCCTACATGGTAGAAGGGTTGGGTTTGTGGCGGAAGCCGAGAAAACTCAATTCAGAGATGAAGCCTGGTCTATAAAGTGAGCCCTGCACAGCCAGGGCTACACAGAGAAACCCTGTCTCGAAAAGCCAAAAGAAGGCAGGCAGGCAAGCTTCATTTTCTGAGCGCTTGGGAGATGGTCAGCTCAGGATCTGAACCAAGTCCCTGAGGGGAGCCCCTATCGCATATTACAGGGTAAAACCGCAAAACGGGGGGCCTTGGATGAGCTTCGGGGTCACCCAGTATATTTTGAGTATCTGTTGGAGATTCATCTGAGAGGTGTGGCCCTGAGCTCAAGGTGATCAGGGACGAAGGAGCGGGGCAGCAGGCAGCTGGTTAAGATAACAACAAGTTCTGTATTTTTTGTTTTTCTTTTTTAGTTTTTTCGGGACCGTATTTATTGTGTAGCCTTGGCTGTCCTGGACTCACTTTGTAGACCAGGCTGTGGTCTCAAACTTGGCCTGCCTCTGCCTCCCGAGTGCTGGGGTTAAAGGTTCGTGCCACCACACACGGCCAAGTTCTACATCCTTTACCCACTTAGCAGGCAAGAAAACACTTGGAAGGGCAGGGTAGGAGCTCGTCTCTGAGCCCGGGAATGTGAACTCAGCTTGACCATGCTAACAATGGGGAAGCAAATCAGAAGAGCTAACTGGACTCTGGCCACTGTCTCCTTACAGGAGAAAACCACCTTCCACAAGTCACCCTCTGCCTTTCACACAAGCACAAACACTGAACAGATGTGATTTTAAAATTAGAATGTCTAGGAAAGCATGTGAAGTCCTGAAGACATGCCAGGGGCTTGTTTGTCCCTGAAAGCTCAGCTCCCTGCCTTTTCAGGGCGTCATGCCCCTTTTCTTAGGGGGCACATGCATCTACTGTCTCCAGGTGGGGACCCCAGAACAGCCACAGGTGCCGTACCACCCAAGTCCAAGTTGGTGAATTGGTGGTTTTCTTGGGGTCACTCCCAGGACTGTGGTGACTCCAGGGCGGCTGCATCACAAGACGATTACCCGGTATACTCTACTTACACCTTGCAGAGTCTCTGCCAGGGAACTCTGCTGACCTGAGGCCCCTCAGCAGTTCTACTGTACATTTGACTCTGACCAGGACCTTGCTCAGTTTCAGGGGCTTCCTGGGAATTACGAGATGTTTAATTCCAGAATCTCAAGGAGTCCCGCTTTAGAACTTCCTGAGTCTTTTTACACGCTTACTCTCCCTTCCCCCAAAGATAGACTCTTTCAGCTGTGAGGATGTCACTAGCAGCAGTGGTCTGTAAGACTGAGGTCGTGTGTGCTTGTAGGAGGCGGTGACATTCAAGGACGTGGCCGTGGTCTTCACTAAGGAGGAGTTCAGGCTGCTGGACTCTGCCCAGAGGAAGCTGTACCAAGATGTGATGGTGGAGAATTTTTGGAACCTGCTTTCAGTGGGTGAGAACAGGTGCTATCTGGCACTCATCTTTGTGATTGTAAAGCTTTGCGGCTCTCAACATGGTTCCCTGGGACTTTGCTTATTCTCATAGTCAAAAAACGTTCCTTTCGTTTTCTGAACAGGCTATTTATTTATTTACTTTTATGTTTGGTTGTATTTTTTCTGGTGCCTGTGGAGGCCAGTGCAGGGAATTGGACCCCTTGATCTGTGAGCCACTGTGTGGTGCTGAGAACTGAGCCTGAGCGATCTGGAAGAAGAGCCACAGCGGTCCACAGCGTGAATCTAGCCCCACATAGTATTGTTCTAAAAACGATCATATCTTACCGGGCAGTGTTGCGCACACCTTTAGTCCCAGCATCAATCAGGCAGGGGCAGGCAGATCTCTTGAGTCTGAGGCCAGCCTGGTCTACAGAGTGCGTTTCAGGACAGCCAGGGCCGCCCAGAGAAACCTTGCCTTGATAAACAAACAGCAACAAAATTACATCTTATTTGGTGTGTGTGTGTGTGTGTGTGTGTGTGTGTGTGTGTGTGTGTGTATGTGGGGGTGTGGACCCCCTGAGGCTAGAAGAGGGCATCAGGAGTTACAGGCGGTTGTGAGGCTCGGGTTGTGTGTCTGGGAACTGAACTTGGGTCCTCTGGAAGAGCAGCAAGCACTCTTAATCGCTGACCCATCTCTCCAGCCCCTCTACTGATAATGTTTTAAAAGATACTTGTATTTACTATTTTTATGTGTGTGTATGTGAGAGAGACTCTCTGTGTGGGAGCCTTCTAAGGTCAGAAAAGGGCATTGGATCCTCTGAAGCTGGAGCATAATAGTAGCTAGGTGGTTGTAGGTGCCGGACCCAGGACTCTGGTTCTTGGATGACAGCAGTGCCCTTTTCCGTGGGTCACCTCTCCAGCACTGGTTCTGGCAACTTTAAAGGAAGGGTGCTGGCATAGCGTTTCTTAGAATAATCCACGTTGGATGAGTGGGTGTAGAGCAAGTGAGAGATTTGTGAGCTAAAAGTAGGTTACCCAAGCTTTGATTCTGAAGTACGTGTTTGTGGTGGAGGGGTCACGGAATGGTGTTTCTCTGGGGGGGGGGCTTGGGGGTGTTTATCCGAGGGGCTTTGGGGGTCTAAACACATTGTTTTCATTGTACTGATGATCTGGCTGTAACTGCAGTTTGGAGTGCATTTTCACTGTCGAACCCTTTTTACATTTGTGATTTTACATGTTCAGAGTATCGGCTTTTTAAAAGATGTAAACCACACATAGAAAGAGAAGAGAAGCCTTGAATGAGAAGGGGAGAGGAGATTTAGGTGACAATCTTCAGCTTTGGTTTTATTGGTTCTTAGTAGTTGGGAGCTCGGGAGACTATGTCTTGGTTTCTGTCAGCATTTAAACCAGGAAAATTCATTAAGAATGAAAAGGTGAGCTAAAGAATCATCTAGAGTCAATTTAAAGTCTAGTATTGTGACCTAAGTGTGAAATCCTGAAGTGTGAACAGTTTTCACTTGTCTTTATCTCTGTCTATAGGAATTAACAATCAGAGTGAGATAAGAGCTGTCCACAGAGGGTCGCCTGAATCCCCTTCCTGCTGGCAGATCTGGCAGTGGGTCACGGACGACTTAAGCAGGTATGCAGGCTCCGTGGTGAACCCTCCTCAGTTACAGGGAGAGTCCCCATGTCGGTTGGAGCCAGGGTTATCGGCTCACCTTTCTGAAGGTGAGAACGGTATACCAAGACATAAAGCAAATGTTCCCATTGATTCTGAAAGGCTCCCACTTCCGACTTGGAGACCCCAGAGTAATTTCCTGACGGAGCCACAGCGTCCTAAGGATGGATACCAGCAAATTTCCGTGAGAGACGACCTGGCTCAGAGTGCACAGGATGTTCACTCTACAGGTGAGAGGTCACGTTCCCACAGTGATCGTAGAGCACACAGAAGCAAAGAGCCTTACAGCTCCAGCGATCGCAGGAGAGAAGGCGTCAAGATGGCGCCTTTTGATCAGAAGAGAATGAACACTGGACAGAAGAGTTACCCAAATAAAGAAGCTGTTACACAGCTCTCCAGCTTTGATCCTCACCAACTGTCAGACGTGGGAGAGAGGTCTCGTGGGTGTGTTGAATGTGAGAAGGGCTTTGGCGGTAGCCCTGCTGGTTGCATTCATCAAGGAGACCACACAGGAGACAAACGTAAGGAATGCAGCCATGTCCCACGTGAACCCACCCATCAGAAGGCCCACGCTCCAGTGAAGCCATTCCAGTGTGAGCAGTGTGGAAAGTATTTCAGTTGCAGATCATCTCTTCACGTTCACTTTAAAGTGCACACGAGGCAGAGGCCTTACAGTTGTGAGGTGTGTGGGAGTGCTTTCAGCCAGACCTCCCACCTGGAGGACCACAAGAGGCTGCACAGTGGGGAGAAGCCGTTCAGATGCGAGGCGTGCGGTAAGAGCTTCAGCCGGAGCTCACACCTCCGGTCCCACCAGAGGGTCCACACGGGAGAGAAGCCGTACAAGTGTCAGGAGTGTGGGAAGAGCTTCATTTGTAGCTCAAACCTGTACATTCATCAGAGAGTGCACACGGGGGAGAAGCCCTACAAGTGTGTGGACTGTGGGAAGGAGTTCAGCCGCCCCTCGAGCCTCCAGGCCCACCAGGGCATCCACACTGGGGAGAAGTCCTACGTGTGTACCCTGTGTGGCAAAGGCTACACTCTGAACTCAAATCTGCAAGTCCATCTGCGAGTACACACCGGGGAGAAGCCGTACCGGTGTGACGCGTGTGGGAAGGTCTTCAGCCGCTCCTCACAGCTGCAGTCCCACCGGAGAGTGCACACGGGGGAGAAGCCGTACAGCTGCGAGGTCTGTGGGAAGAGCTTCGGTTGGCGCTCCAACTTCCTCATCCACCACAGGATCCACAGCCGAGGCAGAGCCGATGGGAAGGCTGGCCAAAGCCCCGGGGAGCCGGCACAGGAGACGAGCTCTATAAAATAGTGCTTTCCAGACTGTCGTGTGAATTCTTTCTTTTTTGCATTTAATTACATTTTGCAGTTTAGTGTGAGGGCTGGAGAGGTGGCTCAGACCCAGTTCCCAGCCTCCAGATGGTGGTTCACCACCATCCATAACCTGAGCTCCAGCAGATCAGACAGAAGGCACATAAACATGCATGTAGACAAAACATACACAGAATAGAACTTAAACCACCACCATAGTGTACGCGGGCACGCACACATGCTGGCATAGGCACAGTGCAGGTCAGCGGGCGTCTTTTAGGAGTGGGTTCCCTCTCTCCACCTTATGGTCAATCGGGCTCGGTGGCTCACCTTTACCACCCAGTCAGCACTGGTCAGGGTGTGAACCTTCCACCCTGTGCACCCGGGCACTGCTGAGCCACAGCAGGCTTTGGTTGGTTGTTCTCTTTTTCAAGTGTTACAAGGAGAACTCTGGGAAGGATGAGCCATCAGGGCTTTTCGGAAGTGTCGTGTTGGTTATAAAGAAAAGCTGGCGAATTAGTGACGCCCTAGTGCTGAGAACTTAGACTGAAGCTGTAACGAGGATGCACTTTCCAAACTGTTGAGATGCGAGTTTCTGTTTGGAGCAGGAACCCTGATAGGTCAACAAAAACTCAAGCAGCCGAAATATAAAAACCCACTTTGTGCTCCGGGCCATAGCTCGGCGTTGGGACACTTGGCTGCCTCTCGCGGGTCCGAGCCCAGTCCCCAGGGCAGCGTCACCTTGCTGTTGTCCTTCACTAATACGCGTCCTTTGCTTCAACCCTTGTTGCTGAGTTGGATTGCGTCTTCTTGAACTTGGTCTCGTGTTTTTGCGAGTAGATGCAATTGTCCTTTCTGACAGGGTAAGGTGAAACGAAGTTTGTTAGCCCTTCACTAACAAGATTCTCCACGGTACAGGACGCACTCCTCTTCGGCTCTGTGTGGGGTAGAGGGAAATGGCCCAGACGCACGGATTTGAACACGTAGAGGTTCTCTGCTTGGACCAGGCTCCTTATGTGAAACCGCATTTATATGTGCCCAAGCTAGGGTTTTCCCATCAGGGCACTCGAGCCGCGATGAACTGAAATCTCTTTTTAACCTGGGCCAAATAAATAAATAAATAAACCAAAAACCCTTTCAAGTTGTTCCTGTCAGGCCTTTCGTCTCAGTGACCCAAACTACCCAGCGCTGCTGTGACTGCCTCGGCCCAAGGATACACGGACCGCCTTGGTGAGGCACATAAAGCGAGCAGAGCAGCAGAAGGGCCTTCCGGGAGGTGGAGTTCGGAAGCTCGCAGACTTCCTGGGCTGGAAGCGTCCTTGGACGTGAATTCCAGGACTACCTGGAGGGCGGGCGCTCGTCTCCCGGTGGCTTCTGGGAAGTGTAGTTCAGGAGCTAGGGCCGCTTCTGCCCGTGGATTGCGGATCAGGGAGGCGTGTGCGTCCGCCTCAGCCCCTTTCAGGTCCCTGTGGCCTGAGACCGGAAGTGAGGGGACCGACGGTGCAAGGACCGGAAGTTCATTTCTCCTCACCGCCCCCACCCCCGAGTGGGAAGTTGGCGGTAGCTGGTGCGCTGTTGGGGTGCAGCCGCCTTCGCGGGGCCAGCGCCGGCCTCAGGCGCGTCGACTTCTCCCGGAAGCCCCGTGACGAGAGGCGGCCAAGCTCCAGGACCGCCTCACGTCCCTCAGGAAACAGTCTGCGCGTCCGGGGCACCAAAGGCGCGTTCTGGTTGGGCTGCCCCTTCAGCCCATCGGGGTCCCCTGGCCGCGAAAATTGACCACCAGAACGTTTATTTGTTTAGGATTTTTATCTTTGTGTGTGAGAGAAAATGTGCACGTGTGAGCGCGCGCGAGAGAGAACGTGTGCACGCGGAAGGTGCAGGAGAGAGGTGGGGAGGAGGCAGTGGCCGTGTGCACGTGTTCGTGCAGTGCCTGAGGAGCGCCAGGGAGGTCACCAGATCCCCAGGAGCTCGGGCCCCGAAGATTGTGGGTCACCTGCCCATTGTGCTCGATGGAAGCCCTGCAGGTGCTCTTCGCGCCTCAGGCATCCCTCCAGCCCCCTACGCCCACCCCCCTCTTTTTTGAGACAGGGTGTAGGTAGCCCAGGGTGACCTCAAACTCACTGCGCATCCAAGGATGACTTGTTATTCTCAGTCCTTCTGCTTCCACCTCCCAAGTGCTGAGATTACAAGGGAGAGCCACCACTCCTCATTTAGTACCTTGTGTAATTAGAATACAGTTGTAAGTTTTCTTATGCCGTCAGCTTGTTCATATGTGTGTATATTGGGAATATTTGAATTCAAGCACAACGCCGATTCTTAAATTGAACAACTAGAAATATAACTTCCCTTTCTATACACATGCATATATTTAAACTTACTGAATCCTACATTGCTTCCTCTTGTTCACCTTTCATGCCTTAGTTTCATTCCTTTTTGCTGTCCTGAGTTGGTTTGGAATTTTTATTATCTGTGTTCTTATACAAATTGATATCTAAACGGGGCTTGGTAGCACAGCACACAGGCGGAAGCAAGCGGATGTTTGATTTTGAGGCCAGTCTGGTCTACAGAGTGACTCCAGAACTGCCAAGGGTTCACGGAGAAACCCTGTCTCAACAAACTTAATAAGCCAGTGGGAGAGGTAGCAATCATGGATGTTCTGAGCAGACCTGAAAGAATAGTAAGTAGCACGGGTTCTCTCCAGGAAACCTGGGTCTCTGGGTTTCTGTTTCCTTCAGCTGAAGCCTTTCTTCTGCTTCCAGTAGGGACACCATACCTGCTTTGAGGGAAAGGTGTCTTAAGAAAAGATAAGACATATGTATTTAAGGTGAAGTACATTTTTGTGTAAATTATGTAGTCCTCAGAACCTGTGACATGAAGTTTAGAATACATGATCAGGAATTGCACTGGGAAATTGGGCTGCAGAGACAGCTCAGTGGTTAACGGTCCCTTCCTGCTTTGGCTTTGTCTTATCATGTGATTTTTCCTTGTACTCATTTCCGTAGTGATGTTTTCAACTTTGCTTTTAAAATTATTTAGTTCTTTTCCTTGTAAGTTGGAGAATAAATTTTTGTTTGCTTGTTTGTTTTGTTTTTGTGTTTTGAAGTAGGGTCTCTCCATGTAGCTCTGGCTGTCCTGGAACTTGCAATGTAGAACAGGCTGGCCTCAAACTCACAGAGATCACCTGGGATTAAAGGCATGCACCACCATGTCCAACATTTTTGTTAAGCTTTTTCAGGTCCAGTGATTTTGATGAGAAGTATATTACCTACCTAGGGAAATATTGATACTTAATTTGAAACATGGTATGTCACAGCAAATATCTTAGTTATTCTCGAAGTGATTTTTTTCTGTACGCAGCCTGTGTTTCGTCAGAGCTGAAGCTTAAAGGTTTCTAATTGTTTTGTTGTTGCTCTGTTGTGAATCTGTACTTGTGCACCTACAATCTTTCTAAGCTGGTGTGCTTTCATGCTTCTTTATGGTCACATCTGGAGACAGCAGCACTTCTTTTCCAGTCTGGCTCTTGCCTACTTTCTCATTGTACCATTGGGACTAGTGACACTGTTATACCTGCTACCAAGACTGATGAACTGAGTTCAACACCAAGACCCACACCTCTCCACCCCACCCCCTTTTGAAAGGAGAGCACACATCACTCTCTAATCTCCACACATGGCACCATGACACGTGTGCAACACAATAAAAATGCAACAGTATGAGTTGAACATGAAAGGAGGCATAATTGAAGAGTAAAAAGAAAAAAGTTTCATGTAGACAATGACAAAAAAAAGAAAATTGCAAGTCTTAATATAAATAAACTCCAATTAGAAGGCAGAGATGTGGAGAGGCCGACACACGCATAATTCCAGCAGTTGGACAGTGGGATGCAGGAGGGTAGAGAGAGAGAAAGGCAAGTACACTATATTTTCTGACCACAAAGAACTTTTACAGTTGATCAATCACAGTGAACTGGTTAGCTTTAACTGTCAACAGCTTAGAGTCACTTGAGAAGAAATTTCATTTGCAAGGTTGCCCAGATGAGATTGACTTCTGTGTATATCCATGATGGAGGATTGTTCAGATTGTTAATTAACATTGTTGAGGGCCCAGCCCATGATGGGTGGCAACATTCCCTGGGCAAATTGTCTTGGGTTGTATATAAAAAGCTAGCTACATAGGAGCCTGGGGGCATGCCAGCATTCCATTTCTCCTTGAAGTTCTTGAGTTCCTATCTTGACTTTGCTCAGTGATGGGCTATAACATGCAAAGTGAAGTAACTCCCTTCTTCCTCTAATTTTGGTCAGTGTTTTATCACAATAACAGAGAGGAATTAGAGCACACAGCAAGCCTGTGGGATGGAGAGGGTTTTCACTGCAAAACCCTCAGATGTGGTTAGGACACGACCTCCTACCCTAAGCTTACAGTGATCTAGAAAGTTCTCAAGGCTCTATGATGATGATGACGATGAACTGAACCCAGAACTATCAATACTGGCAGGTAAGAGCTACGTCTTCAGCACAGGCTTGTTTTTATATAACAGAGTTGGTACATTTTTCACAAAAGTCACTCAAAGAGGTGAGGGACAGCTGAGGCTGTGGGTCCAAGTGAGTTACTACCCCTCTGATCGACATTTCAGGATGGAGCCCAGGGTCCTGATTAATTGCATCTGGATAAGAAGATTATTGGGAGTTGGGAAGGGAGAACAGAAGTAAAAATGAAAATGAAGGAAAAACAAAAAATTTAAGCCAGTAGATGACAATCTTGAACCAAACACACCCACACACATGAAAATAAAGTTGCTCCCATTTTGGCCACAGGACATGAATAAGTTGAGCTAGAACTGATCTGGCCCCTGTCTTGAATATCCTGTCCATTTTCAGTATGGGTGCAAGTGTCTCAGGAAGGGGGTCTTAGACTCCTTTGGAACATGGAAGTGTTTCTGTGTAAAGGTTCAATTTTCAATCAGTCTAAAATCCAGGGCAGAAGCTCAAAGACATTCTGTGGTCAGGGAGGACAATTTGACCTAAGACCAGAAGGAAAGGATGAGAAGCAACTAATTAACAATTAAAGTTTACTGAGAACCTTTTTGTCATCAGTAAAGACCGTAAAAAGCAACTGCAATATTGGCTACAGAAAAAAAAGACTGTCCCCAATCAATTCAGGGCCCAATATTACAATCATGTAAGTTTCAGTTCACCTTATTAGGCTGAGAAATGCAGGATTAAAAAATTTCTTTTAGTCTATTAAGTACAAATACTAAAAATCATTCAGTATGGAATTGATGTGCTATACAGAGCACCAGGCCTAGTGGGCCAGGCCACATACTACAAATGTTAGTGAGATTCCTCTTGCTTCAAAGGCCACTTTCAGGATTACTGAAGAATTGATATGAATGAGTTGATATGAATGCAGGGTTGA